TTCCCCGCCCGACGGGCCGGGGCCGTGGTGTCGAGAATTCGTCGTGCAGTCGGGGCGTCGACCTGAGGAGCCCTAGATAAGGAACGAGGCCCCTTTTTTCCGTACGTTCTGCTTCTGCTTCCCACGGGAAACCTCAGGAACTCGGGTCAGGGCTAACTCGGGTTCGTTTTTTCGGGAATCCCGGCCCGAGTTGTCCCGGACCCGAGTTGCCCCGGAGATTTCGGGCGTCCAGAGCCCCGAATCATCAGGGGTAACTCGGGTCAGGGCTAACTCGGGTTCGTTTTTTTCGGGAATCCCAGCCCGAGTTACGCCGGACCCGAGTTGCCCCGGATGTTTCGGGCGTCCAGAGCCCCGAATCATCAGGGGTAACTCGGGTCAGGGCTAACTCGGGGTCGTTTTTTCGGGGATCCCAGCCCGAGTTCTCCCGGACCCGAGTTGCCCCGGACATTTCGGGCGTCCAGAGCCCCGAATCATCAGGGGTAACTCGGGTCAGGGCTAACTCGGGGTCGTTTTTTCGGGCATCCCAGCCCGAGTCATCCCGGACCCGAGTTACCCCGGATATTTCGGGCGTCCAGAGCCCCGAATCATCCGGGGTAACTCGGGTCAGGGCTAACTCGGGTTCGTTTTTCGGGAACTCAAACCCGAGTTACCCCGGACCCGAGTTACCCCGGATAACTCGGGCGTCCAAGTGGTGTCAAGAATTCGTCGTACAGTCGGGGCGTTGACCTAAGGAACCCGAGATAAGGAACGAGGCCCCTTTTTTCCATACGCTCTACTTCTGCTTCCCACGGGAAACCTCAGGAAAACCTGTGGCAAGCTGTACAACAATCGCGGAGCACCGAGCCCCCCCCCAAAGAAAAGGGTTCCTTCTTCAGCGCCCCGACTGTAACGGCGGGAGGCGTGCGCGCACTTCGCCGCAGGCAGCTGGGCCCAGAGCGCGATGCAGCGACGGGGCCAGGCCGAGGTCAGCTGAACCCCTCGGGGGCCAGCGCCACGTTGAAAACATCGTCTCCTTTTATCCGGCGGCGAGCCTTTGGGGGGAAGCGAGAGGGGGCAGGCCTCCTCAGAAGGCTCGGAGGTCCTCCGGCCTTCCGAGAAGCTTCCCGAGCCCTCCCCGAAGACGCAGACAACCTCTCAGAAGGCCGGAGGGCTTCTGAGAAGCCCCGCCGCTTTCTGAGAAGGCCTTCGGAGGAGGAGGACGAGGAGTAGGAGGAGTAGGAGGAGGAGGAGGAGGAGGAGTAGGAGGAGGAGGAGGAGGAGGAGGAAGAGGAGGAGGAGTAGGCCCTCTCCTTCTCACCTCCCCCCCTCGCTCGCCGCCGATCTGTCGTGTGGCCGCGCACGCCCGGCACGCCGCGGCCGCCAGGCCCCACGTGCGCAGGCGATCCCTGGCACCCCGCCTCGCACCCTCGGCGCACCACGGCTCCAGGCTGCGGCCGCCGGGCCTCGGAGTGTGCTGGCGCTCCCCGGCTGTCCATCCTCGATTCTGCCTTTCTTGAAGAGGCCCTGGGGCACACGAACAAAGAGACACAAACGACAGGATCCCCCATCTTTTCCCATATTTTCTGGGTCCTCGTCTTCCCCCCCACTTCCCAGATAGTTCCTACATTTTCGGGGGAGTCGACGATTGATTGTGTCTGTGCGTTTTTGTCCCTCCTGATTTCTGCGGTGGGGATCGCGCGAAGTCAACTACGACAGGTTCGCGTCGTGCCGACCTCGGCGTCGGTTTCTGACACCGCGGGGGTCGTTCACCCTTGAACGGTCGGCCGTTTCAGAAGCGTCAGATCAGTCAACCATCGACCGATTCTGGGTCGCCGGCGGCGTTCAACATTGAACGCGGGCGGCGGGGTCGCCGCCAGGCGACACGACGCGAACATACCGTAATTGTTCTATTCCTTGGGGTGCTGGAGTCGCATATGGTTCCCAACCATCCTGTGGTGTTGGGTTCTCTCCTCCTTCTCTCCTCCTCCTCCTCCTCCCCCTCCTCCCGTCTCCACCTCCTTGCCTCTGCCCTCATCAATATGCGTCTCCCTCACCCAGCACAGCGCTTCGTGGCCACAAAGGGAGCTCCACTCAAGGCCCAAGTGGCTGTGTTCGCGTACGGTTCACCCACCAAGTACAACGTTTCGTGGCCCCATAGGGAGCTCCACTGAATGTCAGTGGCTGCTCTCGCATGCGGTTCACCCACTCAATGCAACGCTTCGTGGCCCCATAAGGGCGGTGCCCGGTTCACGCGAACCAGACCACCTCAGATCATACAACATGGGATGGCCCGACCTCCTCCTCCACCTCCTGCACCCCCTCCTCCCCCCTCTTCTCCCTTCCGCCTCCTCGACCATCGATCCACTGGAGACCCGTGCCGAGGGCTTCGCAAGGACGACGGAGGGCTGATGAGCCCGATGAAGTGACCACTGCGCCAGATTGGCCAACATTACGTAGGGCGAAGCGGAATTCGGCATGATCAGAATGGATTAAACCAGCACTGATGCTGAATCTGATCTGC